CTGAACTAGCTTGCTGGAGGATGAGGTATGTGAAGCAAACTTGAGCTGACTCAGACACCACAGAACATCTACAACTGATGGTAGACGCATGAATGAGCTCATCTAAGACCCTACAGTGAACAATTCTGGGTTCAGAATTCTCCTGTTAACCACAAACCTCATGAGCAAACGTAACAATGCCAAATAAGCCTGTTGACAAGATACTCCCCGCTCCTGCCAAGTCCCATAAATACCTGAAAACTCAACAGAGGAAAGCTATGCCTTATTTAGGAAATTGACTTATCACATCCCTAAGCAACCAAAATATTTTCAAAGAAAGAATTTAAGGGTCCACTGCATTTTGGGATTTCAGGATTCATCCTTAATCAAGGATTCCACTGACAATTACTATAATGCTATTTTATAATAAAATTTCCATTCATTTCATAAATAGTGATGAGTCCATGTTTCAACCACATACTCCTTCCTTCAATGAAAATGATGATGCATTAGGGAAACAATTACAGTACATGGCAAACAATTATAGCATGTGAACTTTCCCGATACACCAATAATTCCTTGTCGCTATTTGTAAATACATTTGTTATATTCATAGGTCTGTTTTAACAAAGGCTCTGTTACTATTATATTTTCAAGTACCACAATTCTTCTTATCACCACTCATTAATCAGAATAGCACATATTTTAAGTGTGTGCCCCTCTTAAGCTTGAATTATTCTTTTAACGAGATTCACTTGAGTATAGAAGTATTCGCTCATGATCTTTTCTTAACCCTCCTTTTGATCCCACGCTAGAGGAAAACAATTTTAAGCAAAAGTATTGGAAGGTATTTCATATTTATTTGATTTCAACACAACACAATTGTAGAACTATCATTTATGAATTTCTAGAAACATTTTGGGAATTATTTTATTGTGTTTTTTTTCTTATTATTTTTGATGGTAAAGTTCTCTATGTTTATATTTTGTTTTCAAACCAAGCTCACATTGAGTTGATTCCAACTCAGCAACCCCCGTAGGGTTTCCAAGGCTGTAAATCTATGGAAACAGATTGCCTCATCTTTCTTCTAAGGAGTGCCTGGTAGGTTCAAACCACTGACCTTTTGGTTGGCAACCAAATGGCTTAACCACTGCACCACTGGAGCTCCTTATATCTTATTTTGCAAATTGTAATTTGTTTACTAAAATTTAATTCCTTTTAATTAGCTTTGCTGATGAAGTCTGATTTAACCAACCTAACCCTGTTCTTCATGGTTTTAGAACATTCTTTCTCATCTTGTCTCATTTTTTGTCCAATAGAACTGTCTGTAATGGTAGAGATGCTCTTTGTACTTTCTAATATGACAGCCACAAATAACTTTATATATAGCTTGTGCAACTGAAACTTAAATTATAATTAAATTTAAATGTTAGTGGATAACATATTGGAGAGTACAGTTCTGGACAGAAGAAGCCAATCTGTGAAAACTGTCTTTGTAGGGCAGCTTCATTCTTTTATGGAGGCATGTCATCTATGAGGACACATAATAGATTTTTGCAAGACTAGTATCATGTTTTCTTTTTGGGGTTCATTATCCTATTAATGCCGAATTTTTTTCTCATCTTTTTGTTTGTAACAATATAACTGGAGATAGTCTACACTAAAGATACCTTCAATGCAGGAACTGAATCTAACATTTGTGAAGGGTAAAGAGAAAAGATAAATAAATAAGATTGTTGTTGCTGGTTGCAACAGAAGAAAATTCACTGGTATGTACATGTTATAAGTCACACACACACACACACACACCCTCACCTTTTTATGTGCACAAAAACACATGTACATTGTGAGTGGATTTAATTTTTGATTCTTAGCCTAAGCCAAATTTGAACAAATTTGTTATTGCCATGTATGTTGTCTCCCACCAGCCACTCCTCGGAAGGAAGGTTGAGCAATCCTACTTCCGTAGTGATACTGCCTTGGAAACCCAAGGAGGGGTCGCTATGAGTCGGGGTCGACTCGACGGCACATAACAACAACAACAACAACATGTATGTTGTCTACTCATATATGTGTCATGGCAAATAAACCACTATAGGAGTAGACATTCGGGAAAGAATAAAAATCCAATGATTTCAATAGTTTGGTCAAGCTCTTACTAGTAATCATGTTGTTACAGTGACCAGTCATGGGGAAGGAAGCATTCTAGGATCCAGGTATAACTGACAAAGAACAAATGTAAATATCAATATGAAGATGCTATCTTATCCCTGAGAGAAGGGATGGTGTGAAAAGGAGTTAGGTGTGGAGCTTTTTATTTTGGCTACTAGGATTTCTGCTAAAGAACTTTGAAAATATTTGCTAAATAGGTTGAAGGCAGAGATAATATATATGTGGTAAAAGAAATTTCACTCCTCATTCTTGAACCCTTGTTAGAGGTAGCTAATAAGCCACAATATCAGAGCTTTCAAATCCTGCACTATCACATTCCAGACATTACTTATTGAAAGGAGATAAACTCTACTCAGCATCTCTGTTACTTGATTTATTTTTTCTTTATGATCAGAATCCCTGAGTGATGCAAAGAGTTAGCACACTTGACTGCTAATGGAAAGACTGGGGGTTTGAGTTCACCTAGAGGTGCTTCAGAAGAAAGGCCTGGTGATCTACTTCCCAAAAAAAACAAGCCACTGAAAATCCTATAGAGGACAATTTTACTCTGACACACATGGGGTTGCCATCAGTTGGGGTCAACTCAACAGCTACTGGTTTCTCCTTTATAATCAAGTTTGAAATCTTACTTCTTCCATGTGAGATAGCAAAGAAGTGTTTCTTTCGAGAGAATCATTTTTTTTTTCTTCTGCTTGAACCCCTTCTCTTCATTCCCTACCACCACTCTCATCCGTGTCCATTTCTCCTCATTATTAGATTGACATAAGACAGGCTTTGGAGGCATTTTGGAAGATGTCCCTGGCTATCTCAGGATTGTCTCTGGACCTAAAATTAAGATGGATCATTTTCTTTAACCCCCAGTAGCCTTAGGCACTGAATTGCTTTTTAATTACATAGAACTTTATGTACTGCAGTGTATTTCTTCCCCCATTCAGAATAGGATGTGGCTCTATCCATTAAATGCCCTCACCTCACCTACATATTTCTTTCATGCCATGATGTTCAGACAAGTTCATAGATTCTTTGTGCTGCCATTGCTGAGTCCACTGAATCTGCCTTGGACCATATACCCATCCTGGTCCACCATTTTTATTTACCAGCACAGACCTACAAGACCTACCCTTCCAGAAGAGTAGTTATTTTAATTGTATGAATAAGTAACAAAAACAAATACCAAATACAAAATGGCTTATTCTCTGTGCACAGTATTTAATGAGGCTTTTCAGCTGCTGTCAATTAATATAATGTCTTCATATAATAGACATGAGGTACATAACCACCAATTCAAATTCCCATCAGGTTCCACTAAACGAATCCCAATGAAAATCACTTAACTCTCCCCCTCCACTTTCTTTTTCTTGGATATATGTAAGTGCATAATGGTATAAATTCACCCTAGGATTAGATTTATGTGGTTAGCAAGCCCACAAAAACAACCAAAAAGCATCAGTTAATAGATGGAAGGTTTTGGAAACATATCTCTGCAACTTTAGAAGCTACTTATCAGCTCAAGGGCTCAAGGTCAGTGCTGTTTTGTTTTCTTTTTGAGAGAAGTTCAAATATGTTTTACTGATATATTACTGTGTAAAATAGTTTAGTTTAGGTAAATTGTGAATCAGAGAAAAGTCAAACAAAATTCAAGGTATACTTGTCCAGAGAAGGCAAGTTAAGGAATAAGTAGTCTATATGTCTAGATATTAAGATCAGTGCCAAATAGAATTTACCAAAAAAGGCTAAAAGGGCTCATATTTAAGTTAATAATTCACAAAATCCCTTTACACCAAGAACCAGTACATGCCAGTTATCTTTATTTCTTTAAAACTTGGAAGCTTCTTTTCTTTTTCTTTTGTCCACACCACCTTGAACTTCACTAGAGGGAATTTGATTAGAAGCATAAAATCCACAGTGATTTACATAAAGAGGTTCTGTGTCAGGGGCATTATCTATGTCTCGGGCTCTTGATAGAAGAAATTCCATGGTCATTCAACAAATACTTAGGTGCTTGCTTTTTATTAGGCTCTGGGGCACAGTGGGGACAAGATAGAAATAACCCTAAGCCTCAGGGCCACTGTATGGTACAGAAGTGCTGTGGTCAATGTGAGTATGGGCTGAATTAGTCTAGGTGAATGCTTAAAAATAGCATCAAAGTTAGGTGAAATCCTCATTCATCTGAGTTTATTTGTTCTCTGTATTTGTTTTATTTGTTTAAGTAGGAAGTTCAGTTGGGGAGCCAAACCACCCCATTGGATTGGGGGTGAAGGAGGCACATGGGTGCCATGTTCTGAGTAGGGCACTTTACCCACACAGCCCTTCTGTGATTTGAGCTCTTGCCATAGCCTTTGCTATAACTCAGAATCAACTGGATGGCATTGGATTTGCAGCCTGCAACACAGGCTCAGATAAGTACAAATTCTTTTCTGAGTAGCTGAGACCAGTCAACAGAGCTTCTGGGCTTCTTCTGGAAATGTGTTCTGTTCTTCACATCTTCACATACTAAGCAACTTTGCATACAGCTAGGCTTATCCAGTGACAAACTTGTCCTAGTTTGCCTGGAACTTTGCCTCTTTTAACACTGAAAGTCTCATGTCCAAGAAACCCCTCATTCACGGGCAAACTGGAGAGTTGGTTAGCACAGCAACTCCATGACCAACAGTAAAAGCTTTCCTCTTCATGATAATACTATATTTTTACATTTTCTTACATTTCCTTTTAATGCATTACCAGAACTGTGGTTTTCTTTCTGTTTATCTCTCATCCCTTGTCTAGAAATCTACCAGGAGTTTAAATACGCTGCAGCAAAGCATCCATTTGAAAGTGTTTAAGTAAGAAATAGGAAGCCAGTGTCTTACCATCTCTTGACATTCCTAGGGCAAGACACTTCTGCAGTCGGCAGTGTTGGCAACGGTTTCTGTTGGTTCTGTCAATTAAACAGTTTCTCTGCCGTGGGCAGGAATAAGAGGCATTGTTCTGCTGGCTTCTCCTAAAGAATCCCTAGAGGGAAAAAGAGCATGAGAAGGAAATAGACTTATAAGAAGGGAAGCAAAGAGAGCATTAACATGTATATTAGCTGTATTGTCTACAGTGAAAAACAACTGAGTTTAAATTTTAAAATTCTTTGGATACCTCTTCTTGGATAGCTTACAGATGTTTAGAGAAAATATTTATAATTTTCAGAATGAAGGTATCATTCATTTATCCACTCTTTCAATGTTCACCTAAGACATTTGTGAACTCTGCTGTTCTACGCAAAGAAGAAAACAACATGGTTCCTGCTCCCAGATGGCAGTGGGCTGAGGTGGTGAAGGAGGGTGTCTCTGTTAAACCAAAGATGGCAAAATGTCATGAGGACACCAAGACTGGTGTCAAGTGTTGTGGGAGCTAGGAGTTTGGGAATATTCTAGTAAAAGGTAGCAATGAAAAATATATGGTTAATATATGTTATTATTTTTCTGATTTCTAAGCTACATTTTCCTCCCTTTCAAAATTTCTGAATCTGACCCAAATGCATCTGGAAAGTTGTTTTTAAACCAATGAGGTGCCTTATAATCAACCACATGTGTGAATAAAGAAACTATTTTATTAAAAATAAGCAATAAGTAAGAGCTGAACTAATGGTCTCTGTCGGCCTCAGGCTATAGGTGATGTGGTAGATTTTCATGCAAATACATTGGGTCCTTTTTGTACAAAACGAACTGCCATGGAACATCCACTACCCCACTAAATAAATCACAACTGAGTTTATTATTTTAAAAATGCTTTGAATACTCTCTTCTGTCCTCCTGGGAATTTTACAGAAAACCCTATTGGAGAAAATAACAATTTTCTCCAGAGATAGGATGAGTATTATTTATCCATTAATTCACCTATTTAATCACTTTCCTTTATCACTCTTTGCTCTTGAATTGTCTAAAACAATTCAACAAAGGTTGAAAGCACCAAGAGCAAAGTGATGGATCCAAGTGTCTTGCCAAGAGACATTTCAAGAAAAGATAACTACCAGCAACAACCTTTAGAAAGTGGAGAACTAAAAACATTCAGAGATGGTAAGCCCAATGCCCATCTTATGGAGGGCCCTAGAACAGGTACTTGACTGTCATCAGTTTCTGTGACTCCTCAGGTATCATCAGGAGAATAGTGTAGGGCTGGGTCTAGGGTGAGGTTAGTGAGGCCACAAAATTTAAGTCACCAAAAAACTCAGTAATTAAGATAAATAATAGTGAATGTAATATGTTTAAAAATCTACATTAGCGTAGATTTGCTTAAGAGAATTAATTAAGACAGGATCAGCATTACTGATTTTTCCTTTTGCCTCAGACTTCATTATGGCTCTGCATGGCACTATGAAGAGACCTTGGTTGTCCATCTTGTGAAGAATCTTAGAAATGATGTGTTGCCAAGTATCTCTTTAGAGAGAAAGATTCCCAATTAGTTCTGTGGTTGTGACCCCAAAGCCATTCAACTGGTTTTGTTCCCACATATTCATATATATTATTTATTTGATGGGCCAGTGACCTGACTGTCCAGTTTGGCTGAATTTAGAAACTAAACAGAAATCATACCCAATTCCTGAGGAATTGAAATGATGTACTTCATGTATCATGAAGACCTTCAGAAAGCATAGGCTCAGCACATGGGTCTTGATTAAAAGTGACTTGAAACTTACATTTCAAGAAAAGTATTGTGTGTGTGTGTTTTATCTTTGGGTACTTAAGTGCCACTTAGCAAAATAGTTGCCAGAAAAATCTCTGAAGTCACAGCTACAATCCTAATTTAATGCCAATTTGACATTAATTATGAGACATTTTTTCCTTATCTTTTGTTCATTATTGTGAATTAACTTTTTGGCATGAAAGAGATTCTGTTTTAAATTTTATTGAATTCTGGACAGAATTTTTTGATTTTTCTGTTTAGGGAATAAAAAAGCGTATTTACAAACATAAGTTTTTCCATGAAATTAAAAAAAAAATAATAGTGTGGTATATAGTGTCATTTTGATTAAGATCTCAGAGTATGCTTCATTGTTGTTGTTAGGTGCTGTCAAGTTGTGTCTGACTCATAGTGACCCTATGCACAGCAGAATGAAACACTGCCCAGTCCTGCGCCAGCTCCATGATCCCTGACTGTGCTCATGAGGAACCTGTACATTGACCAGGAGGCTGTTGTTCAAACAGAACAAGGGGACACTGTGTGATTTAAAATCAAGAAGGGAGTGCATCAGGGTTGTATCCTTTCCCCATACTTATTGAATCTGTATGCCGAGCAAATACTCCAAGAAGCTGGACTATATGAAGAAGAATGTGGCATACACTTGAGCCCATCGTCACTATACTTGAGCCCATCGTCATAGCCTCAGAGTCAATCCATCTCATTGAGGGTTTTCCCCCTCTTTCATCGACCCTCCACCTTACCAAGCATGACATCCTTCTCCAGGGAGTAGTCCTTTCTGACAACATGGCCAAAGTAGGTGAGATGAAGTCTGGCCATTCTCGCTTCCAAGGAGCATTCTGGCTGCACTTCCTCCAGGACAAATATGTTAATTCTTTTAGCAGTCCATGACACTTTCAGCATTCTTCACCAGCACCACAACTCAAAAGCATCAATTCTTCTTCAGTCTTCCTTATTCATTGTCCAGCTCTGACATGCATACGAAATATCATGGCTTGTGTCAGGTGCACCTTAGTCCTCAAGGAGACATCCTTGCTCCTCAGCACTTGAAAGAGGTCTCTTGCAGCCAACTTGCCCAGTGTTATATGTTGTCTGATGTGCTGACTCCTGCTTCCATTGGCATCAATTGTAGAACCAAGCAATGTGAAGTTTTTGACAACTTCAATCTTTTCTCCATTTATCGTAATGCTGCTTATAGGTCCAGTTGTGAGGGTTTTTGTTTTCTTTATATTGAGATGTAATCAATACTGCAGACTGTATTTTTCAATCTTCATCAGTAAGTGCCTCAAGTTATCCTCACTTTCAGCAAACAAAGTTGTGTCATCAGCATGTCTCAGGTTGTTAATGATTCTTCCTCCAATCTTGATGCCACATTCTTCTTCATATAGTCCAGCTTCTTGGAGTATTTGCTCAGCATACAGATTCAATAAGTATGGGGAAAGGATACAACCCTGATGCACTCCCTTCTTGATTTTAAATCATGCAGTGTCCCCTTGCTCTGTTTGAACAACAACCTCCTGGTCAATGTGCAGGTTCCTCATGAGCACAATCAAGTGTTCTGGAATTCTCATTCTTCTCAATGTCATCCACAATTTGTTATGATCCACACAATCAAATGCCTTTGCATAGTCAATAAAACACAAGTAAACATTTTTCTGTATTCTTTGCTTTGAGCCAGGATCCATCTGACAGCAGCTAGGATATCCCTGTTCCACATCTTCTTCTGAATCCAGCTTGCACCTCTGGAAGTTCTCTGTCAATACACTGCTGCAGCCATTTTTTGAACTATCTTCAGTAAGATCTTACTTGTATGCAATATTAATGATGTTGTTTGAGAATTTCCACATTCTGTGGGATCATCTTTCTTTGGAATGGGTACAAATACGGATCTCTTCGGGAGCTCTGGTAGCATAGTGGCTAAGACACTTGCCTGCTAACCAGACGGCTGG